GTGTGTGTGTGTGTGTGTGTGTGTGTGTGCGTGCGTGTGTGTGTTTGTGTTGGCTGCGTTTACACAGCACCAAAGCTAAAAAGGGATTTTTAACTTTCTGTGGTACGTTCAGAAGAAGAGACCCCACCTTTTCTGTGTGACTTCTCCTCTGTTGCTTGTCGTGCTGCAAAAGCTTCAAATCTGCTTGCGATGCTTTTTGTAAATCCAGCACATCAAGCATGAGTTTTGTACGTTTTGAATCATGTCACCATGCTGAATGTGTATGGAAGACGACGTGGAAAGTAAATTTTCACTTTATTGTTAAAAAAAGAACGAAAGAAACTCAAGTGCCTCTATTTGTGTCCAGTTGGAATTGCTCTATTTATTTAAAACAAAGAATGGATCTAAATAATTTTCCATACCATATTGGTATAAATATGAGATTGTTTTTCGTAAAATCAGATGTCTCCATAAGCTTTTTTAACTGGCGTTTATGACTACACCAGGGTTTGGCTTTAAGACAAAAAAAAACGTGTGACTGAGCGTGTTGGATTAGAATCGGTTGCTGTGTTTTTCTGTTTCGTTTTTGATGATTTGAACAAGTTTCAGTTTGTCTGAAATGCCTGAAACTTTCAAATCTTTGCATGCAATAAATGGTAGCTTCAGACCAACAGTTGGTTGTGTCCATTCCAAGAGACAAAAATAATAATAATAATAAAACCTGTCTTTTTGTGTTGCTTAATTCGGTTTCACTATGAATGTTTTTCATCACCTGTGGGAGCAAAGTAACCCTACATGTGACCCCTCACATAGAACCCAGGATTTAGGCTGTATAGTGAGATGTGGGCAGCTACAGTGAACACTTGTTTTTGTCAAAATACAATAAAAAAAACATATCTCTGAATCCCTTGAAGGAAATGTTTGAGATATAACTCTACAGAGTGTTTTGTAGCACGTGTCTGAGCCATATCAACAACTAAACATGATTTAGAGCAGAAAAATCCAAATCTTTTGCTACTATATGCTTACTTCTCAACACTAGCCAGGAATCCTGATATCCAAGTCCATACCCATGTTCCCCAGTACTTCTGTTCCCTAGTATCTACGCTCCCCTTTACATTGTTATCACTGTAATTCAATATTTGTTTCATTTATATTAGAAAACATTTGAAAGGTGATCAAAATTTCGTAGATATACAGTGGGGGAGATAATTATTTAATCCCTTGCTGATTTTGCAAATGTGCCCATTGACAAAGACATGAACAGTCTAATTTTAAAGGTAGGTTAATTTTAACAGTGAGAGATAGAATCTAAAAAAAATCACATTGTATAAATTATATAAATTTTATTTGCATTTTGCAGAGAGAAATAAGTATTTGATCTCCTACCAACCATTAAGAGTTCTGGCTCCTACAGACCAGTTAAGTTTGAGTCACACTACAAGATTTTAAAACAGTCGGCTGATTTTCAAAGACTGATAGAGCCCACACGTGAGGATAAAAAACCATGGATCTACCAGGTTTGGTCCTACAGTGTGTGATGTACAGCCACACAGCAAGAGACAACACACCACACACAAAAATATATTTCATTCATGATTCAGATGTCAGATATTAAATCACGCGAGACTTCCTGAAATCTCGTGAGAATTCAGATGTCCGAGGAAAAATCT